AACTGAACTGATCAAGCTGTGAATTCCAAACTACTCCGAGAGTTTTTAATACTGTGCTTTCTTCGACCGCATGATCTAAGCTTAATATTTTCTCCGTTATATTATCCAAAGCATGCTTATGATTGGATGCCCACTGGCGCATGTTGAATCCCCCGCGCCTAAGAAGTTCGATTACTTCGTCTCGGATTCGCAGGACCTCCTCGATGGAATTAGCGCCAGTTAGAAGATTATCGACATACAAATCGCGTTTTAAGATTTTCGACGCCAAGGGAAAAACTGATTTTTCGTCTTCCGTGAGTTGAACAACCGAACGGACTGCCAAGAACGCGGCAGAAGAAACTCCGAAAGTGACTGTATTTAGTTCCCAAACTTTCATTTCGCCGCAGTGATACCAGAAGATACGCTGATAACGACGGTCCTCAGGATGAACGAGAACCTGACGATACATTTTCTCGATATCAGCTGTTAACACGCATGCATGTGAGCGAAACCGTAGGATCTGCTCGAAAAGCGTAGGCTGAATAGTGGGACCCACCATTGTTTCGAACAACCTTGAACGTTCGTTGTTCAGAACCGCGTGTGAAAATCAAAGGTAATTTGATTCCCAGTATTTTATAAATGTTATGACCTAATCGTACCGTAGGTGGTAAGACAAGTTAGTTATACGTAATTCTATTTTTCTGGTTTAGAATAAATAACACAGATTTTGAGGGAAAAAGCCATTCGGCATAAAAAACCCTAGTTTATTTTTACATTTGATTTGCTTACGATTAATCAAGAAGTTTAACGAACGGATGGTAAAAAATGGATTTCACTAGTACGATCTTTGATCTGCCCGTATGCTGGCAGTAGGAAACTCATGTCAAAATGCCTCAATGCGATTGGCAATGACGTCGAGCTGCACAGAAGATCATGCCTTGAATCGGTCGGCAAATGTAACCAGTTGACTGGGAATGAGGCCTCAATGCGATCGGCACATGTCGTCCAGTTAACTGAGAATTATGCCTCGAATGATAGGCAAATGTCGTTGAGGGAATCCGTTGTGATTCCACAAGCCTGAATGGTGGCCGAGGGCCGCACGATGCCCAGAGATTTCGTATGTTGCACGCACTCTTGTTCTTACTAACTCCTCTCACGAACTCTTCTTACTAACTCTACTTGATGACTGCTCGAATGCTCCTTCGAAACTAACTGTCCAACCCTCAAACAGACTGTAGTGGGACAGCGGAGTTGGAAAATACACCCTGATTGGTGATTTTTAAGCGTTGAGGCCCAATCAGTCCGCTCCCTGAGATAACCGTTCTCTCTTTTCCCTTTGTAAAGTCTTGGCCTGAAGAGGGGTGGAGAACCGTTAGAAAATGTATACAGATCTCCAACGCTTGACGAGACAATGGGCCTTGTCCTTCGCGTGGGCTGGCAATCGGTTCTTGGAAATGCGTTGAAGTGCCTTTTGCTTCGAGGCAACTCTGTTTCCTTTTCCTGTATGACTGGAAAATGCTATTTGGTGACGAGTTAATCCCTTTTAATGCTAACCGGTCATAAACTCTGTTTTTTCCGTTGAACGGACGGAACAATTCTTTATATTGCTTATAGTGTTTATATGCAAAGACCTAAAGCCTAATTTGAAGGATCCGAATTCGAAAGAGCAAAGAAT